TTTGCAATTTCAGGTTATTTTACATAAAATGTATGTGAACATGCATGTATAATCCTGGGCATATGCTTTCATTCTCTTGGATTAATTCTTAGGAGTAGAAAGGCTATGGGCTTGAGAGATGGCTCAGCAGGTAAAGGTTCTGGCTATGAGTTCCATCTCGGGGACCCATGTCAAGGTAGAAGGAAAGAATCAACTCTGCAGAGTTGTCCTCTGTTCTCCACACCTCCACCATGGCATGCATGCCCACATACATGTACAGAATAACAACAAGTAAAAAGGATTTAAAATATTAATGACTGGAATGGTTGGATTGAATGGTGGGTATATTTTTCATTTCTTTTCACACATTCCTTGGACTTCCTCTTTGTGATGGGGATAGATGATTGAGCAAAGAAAACCTTAAAGGATTTTCAGTGGGAAGACAAGTGGCTTGTGAGTACTCAAGAGCCAGTGACGCTTCTGAATTGCATCTTGGGTAGTACCACTCTTCCACTGTTTTTGATACATGGAGGATGCTGTTAAGGGTGAGGGGAACATTTTATGCCCACATTATAAACAAACTCTTAGTCCTAATAGCAGTCTAACAGGATACTTTATGGAATACTGTGAAATCAAGACCTACCCTAAACAGATTCCATGGTGGTAGATTCCCCAGTAGTTACTTTCTGAGATACCACAGGTGGCTTTCTGCTCTGAGGAGTGGGATGTGGCCCCGAGCAATCAGCCTGCCAGCAAGACTTATGGTGTAGTCTCTCCCTCTATATCACACTTCTAGGAACTGCTCTTCAGACTCACCCTGCTACAGTGTGAGTACGACATATCTCCAGTAGACTCATGAATTTAAAACACACATTGGCTGGGGAACCTTTTGGACATGGAGTCTAAGTGGAAGATTTAGAGTCATAGGAGCAGGGATTAGATGTCATAGTCTCATCCCAGTTTTTAGCTTCATCTCTGCTAAAGCTACTTAACACTTTTAAAATGCCTCAAAACCTGGACGCTTCTAGCACTGTCCAAGTTGAGTGCTTTGCTAGCATTCTGGGTCTGCCTATGGCCTCTGAGTTAGTTCATAAGGGCTTTACCGTTCTGGATGCTGGGTCAGCCTCTTCTGTTGGCTGTGTTCATTTATTGGTAGGCTTGTTCTGCACACAAGTATGGGTATTCCCAACTAGTAAGCCATGGCCGAACACCATGCTTCTCCATGTCAATGGCCTTCAGCCTAGGGGTCACGACCTCTGTGCATGGTGGAATGACCTTTTCACAGGGGTTGCCTATGACCATTGGAAAACACAGATGTTTACATTACAATACAGTTAGGAAGCAGTAATGAAAATTTTATGGTTGGGGGTCACCACAGCATGAGGAACTGTACTAAAGTGTCACAGCATCGGGAAGGTTGAGGCCACTGCTCTGTGTCCACATCGGATAATTAGGAGAGATGGTAATTATTTTGTAATATTAATACAAAAAAACTACTACCAACACGGTGGCTTAAACAGCACAGACCTATTATGTTAAATGTCTATGGGCTAGAAGCCTGAGAAGGATCTCACTGACCTAAAACAACAACCAAACACCTGTCACTGGACACACATTCTCTGATGAAGCACCTAGATGAGAATCTGATGCTGTGCTTTTTCTGGAGGCCACCTGCATTGCTGGGCTCATGGCCCTGTTTCACATTCAAAGAGTGGAACATTGTCTTCCTCTGAGTTTCTTCTTCAACCACACCTTTCTCTGACCATGGACAGGGAAGGTTTTCCACTGCGGAGAGGACAGTCACCCCATTTCAAGAGCAGATTAACTGTGCTATTCTAAAGTCCCTTTTACTGTGTAATAGACTCTTTCTACACGTTCAGTGATGAGGATGTGATATCTTTGAAGGACTTTTATTTTATCCCAGATGTCTAGACAGGATGTCTAGACGGAGCGAGGATTAGGCCTCCTAAACCATGTGTTTGTTTGTTTGTGTTGCTAGGGCATCAACTCAAGGCCTTATGCACCTTAAGCAAACACTCTACCACTCATCTGCACTTCCCTTCCAGTTCCTTCCTATTGGCTACTTTTTTAGTTTCTCTGGAGCTGTAACCCTGCCTGTGTTGCCAGAAGATGAGAGCGGGTGTGGTCTACAGAGTTAAGAATAAGGCTTTAAAAGTCTTTTTCATTGTATGTCTCTGAAAGTTAAACCATATTAGCAATTGAAGAATATGCCCCCCTGCATTTAATCGCAGGAAGGTTCCTTATTCCCCATCATCCTCTCCAGGCTCACCTGTTGGAGGATGTTCCTCTGGTATGGACATCTTCCTTTTCTTTCTGGTCCCAGGAAGGTAGGGAACCCAGAAGAATTTTAAATCCTGAGTTGCCACTGACATTTTTAGTTAAGATTGTTAGATTTCAGGTTCCTGAGATTCTTACTAAAACTGACAAACTATGCAGTTTCTTTTTAACTAGTTTATCAGTCATGACACATGACAATAGCCATGCCTAAAACTCCTTATAGATCTGACCCTTTTGTAGACTTAATTCTAGCTGCATTGAGCCTATTTTCTTTTTTTTTTTTTTTTTTTTTTTTTTTTTTTTTTTTTTTTTTTTTTTTTT